AATTYTGTCCTTGAATTAATTTACCAAAATGAACTCCCTCTTTCCCCAGGGCAGCGATGGTACCCTGTGACCTAAGTGAAAGGTGTCAGTCTCCTCCTAAGGCTGCCAGGTGCCCACCTCCAGGAAGTCAGGCTGGTGGAGGAGAACTAGCGCCTGGGGTCAGATGCACTGCTTTTCACCAGGTGACACTGACTAGCTAGGGCACCGCAGCCTTGCTGAGCCTCAATGTCCACACTTGCAAAGCAAGGCTGGACGGTCATCTTCCTAGGGTCATTTGTGAGCATCAGTGAGGTAATGCAGGAGCTCCCAGCCACGGGTGCTTGGCAAGCTGTGGGTACATGAGAGCACGCTCCTGTCAGTGTACTTGACAAGCCGTGGGGCACCTGTCACATCACGGGCTGGCAGTGGCAGTGGCAGTGGCACTGCCAGCTTTATGAGTGGGGAAGCCTGGCTTTACAATCTGGTGGGGCAGATCCCAAGTAAATGAACCCTCCAATGTGTCATCCCAACTGGGCGAAGTGCTGCTCCACAGTGGAGTAGGGCCCTGAGCATCAGSCACCTCTGTGTCAGTCATCTCCATCTTGAGTTAAGTGGTCACCTCGGGGCAGGAAAGCTCAAATCTGCAGCATTTGACCTGCAAAGAGACCAAGGAGGGAAGCCAGGAAATGGAATCAGTGATTTGTGACTCTGGCTTTGGTGAAGAAACCTTGTGGAGGTGACGCCATCATTCTGCAGTGGGTCCTGTTGCCCGTTTGCTCTGCTCTGTCTATAGCCACAAGTCTGCTCACTGGGGTGACGTTTCCCTGAGGTGGGTCCTGTGATGGGTCACTCCAACACTGTGTACCTCAGCTGGCCTCTGACACTGGGAACCAACTGGTTGCACTTGGGGCAAAAAAGGACATAAGAATATGCAGCGCCCAGGCCACTGTGATCCCAGCCTCAGGGTGCCCAGGACTCTCCGCACCCAGGGGGCCTCYCTTATTCCATAAACAGTATTTGCTGTGGAAAGAGACCAGATAAATGGGTTGGTTGTAGACCTTTTCAGTTTGGCTCATGTACTGCTGCTCAGCTGGGTTTAGGAGCCCTGAGGCCTAAGGCAACATCCTAGGGAGCTCAGGATGCCGGTCTGGGAGGGAGGGAAACAGTAGCCAGAGTAGGAGAAGCCCAGGTGGGGCCTCAAGTGGACAGTCAGGCAGCGCAGCCACCCGGGGACTAATGAGCCCAGTGAACAGCATCTCTCACCAAAGCAGAAGCACTGGGAGAAGGCCGGAGCCAAGAAGTGGCTRGAAAGCTTCTGGCCTTTGTCCTAGGAAACATCAAGGATTGGGAGAATTGGATGAGTGCTCTATGAGATATGAGAACGGTGTCTACAGAGTCCAAAAGCAGAAGCTAGGAACTGTACTAGTATTCCTTACTAGCACGCAAGCTTCAGGTGAGGTTTGACCCAGCGCTCAATGCCCATATCACTAGACCTGTTTCTTTCTCTTCACCTTCCAGGATATTGATTCTTTGAGATTGGTTTCTCTAGTGATCACACATGCTTGTGGCTGGAAGAGGGACATGGTTAGTGTCCCTCAATCAKAGCAAAGAAGTAGAGGGCCAGAGGGCTAGCCAAAACTTGAGGCATTGTCAATAAGGGCATGGAGGCATGGAATTTGTGTCCAAGCCTAGGGTAGGGCCCCTGGGAGCCTCATCTGCAGAGGAGGATTCCGGTTTCCAGGGATGAGGCTGGAGAAAAACCTGTGATCTCTTCCAACCTGGGGACCATATCCATGGAAGTATGGAGCACCCCATTATCTCAAGCCCATTTCTAGTCACAGAATTCCTAGGTTGGGAGGGGCAGGAGTGAGGTACCATTAGGGATCAGTGCTGGAGGTCCCCCCAGACCACAGCTTGCTACTGGGTGGAGCTAGATGACCTCCATGGCAGGGAGGCAGCCTCCCTGGCTTCCAGATCTGCTGGTGTGGTTTCCTTTATTTCCATCTTCCCCAGGTGACACCACTCTTCAGTGGGGGAATGGATCAGGCTACCTCTGGTCCCAGAGTCACTGGACTTACTCCTTCAGTTTTTTTTTTTTTTTTTCTGCTCTACTAGGGTTCTTTAAGGGAGCAAGGGCTGGGTTTTCTAGAATGGATGATTATATAATCCAAGAGCTGAGCAGCATCAGGGCTGCAGAGAACACTCCTCTCACCTCAGTTTAACTTGCCATGGGTGACAACCACACTTGCAGAACTTGTAAGGAAGCAAGAGTCGGGGGAGGCCAAAGATGGGCTTTCTTTTCTTTCTTATTTCTTAGTTATAAGTGGACACAATATATTTCATTTTTATGTGGTGCTGAGGATCGAACCCAGTGCCTCACGCATGCTAGGCAAACACTCTACCTCTGAGCCACAACCTCACCAGATGCGCTTTCTTTTGTTTTCTTGCCCTGAACTCTGGAGCTCTGATGATCCTCCAGCCTCAACCTCCCAAGCACTTGGTCTACAGGGGTGTGTAGCTGCACCCAACCATATTTACTTGTGAAATAATGGCAACCATGTAGGTRACTTCACCTCTTCCATAGGCTGTGAACCCCTGGCTCTCATTCTGCCATAGCAGGGCCTGCACACACTGCCCTCCGCCAGAACCCAGCCCACTGCTTTGCTCTGTTTGTTCTAGACCCTTCCCAGCAGGTGCTGGAAAGCCAAAGGGTGAAGGATCTCTCTGCAGAGCTCAGATCAGGTCCATTGCTATAAAATAGCACTAGAATGATTAGCGACCTCACCTTCTGAACCGGCCCCTTGCTTTGAGACCAGGAGCCCAGGACAGGAAGGCTGCTGGAATGCAATCACACTTATTTTCTTATAATCTGCAGAGAGAGGCTTGTAGATTTAAACATGAATAAAAACATTCTGAAAAGCAACTATTTTGAATTGGTTTTATTTAAATTTTACAGAAACCTGATTGAAGTTAAGTATGTAATCATAAGTCCAATAACAATTTCTACAAAAATGCACATACAAGGCCAGAATTCCTTAAAAGCAACTAATACCATATTTTTGTTTTGCATAAAACATGCATTAATATCAACTGCCATATGTTGGCCAAAATCAGTCTCTACAAGAAGAGACGGTCCAATACAGTCAATAAGAAAACTAGTTGTGAACAACAGGTAAAAAAAGAGGTTCTCTGGTTAATAGAAGAAGGAGCAGTACCTTTCATAAAACAAGCCCTTCAGCACTGGGTGGTTTGTACTATTGTGCTGCACAGTGACACATCACCTCTGAGACTCGGTCCTGAACTGTCATAGGAATAAGGAACTTCTGGTGGTTAAGTYAGACATTCAGGAAGATATAAACCTTCAGAATATGATGATACTTAGTGCAATTTTGCAGAAGGGGTTCAAAACATCCTCAGACTTGAAACACTTGTCTGCAGGCACCTTGAGTTTTTACTGAGCCCTCCTCAATAGGCCACTCAGGGCAAACACCTGCAGTCATAGGACCTTCGGCTCCACACACTGGTCTTCATGAGGATCTGTAGTTAGGAGGCTCAATGCCAAAGAACATGAGTTGTACCATTTCTCTGAGACCTTCATGTCTGTGGGCCTCRTTCACCTTTTCCAGGGATTGGTGGTTACTCCTGCATAAAACCACTGGGCACAAAGGGAATACTAACACACAAGTGTGGCCCCAAAGTCTAAGACACCTGCTAAGATACCTCAAAGTGTGTCATCTATTGTCAGGAAAAACTGTTCCTCTGGAGGGGGCAACTGAGGGCTCTATATTTATCAAAAGGTGTTTTCCATATGGACTGAGGGCTATAAAGAAAGTTCTTACCAACTGAAAGGCCTTTCCCTCAAACACAGGGTTTTATACAACATTCTAGAGGAACTTCAAAAGAAGATCCCACAGTCAAGGGAAAGTGGCTGTGGATGTTATGCTTCAATACACAAACTCAGCACTCGTGTAGCCTAGGGCTTGTTTGGAGTCTTCTACAGTCTGTCTCTTCCAAAACAGGGCAGTCACCACCCTGCTCACTGCAAATCAGCCAATATCTTGTCTTCAGCACAGATTCAAGGGGAAAAATAACTTATTAGAGTTCTAATAACATTTTAATAACAGAACAATATCAAAATAGGTCCATTTTAATATATGCTTATGAATATCCCTGATAATATAAGGAAATCCAGAGGACTTTGTAAACCACCAAGATTTCACAGGGGTGATACCCAGTCATTTTCTAGGCAGCAAAAAGGGACCAGTGTACTGGTGACTTTCCCCATGAAGCCCTGTGAGCACTACAGCACTGAAATTCTAATATTTGAGTGCCARTAGAATAGTGAAGGAAAATTTCACTTTATTAGTAAAATTAGTAACAAAGGTTTGCTTCCTCAACCCTGCCCTCACTTCATCTCCCTGCCTGAGACAGACATCCAAGCCAAAAGTTACCATCAGTCCTGGCAGCTCTGGAGGCTGGGCCCAGAGTAAACAAGTCCCAAGAGCTTTTCGAGCCATGACCCAACCTCAGAAAACAGGGAGGTGGGAGAAAAGGCAGACCAYGCTTGAGGAAGCTTTGACCCAAGGCACCACGATCATGGGGTGAGAGACCTAGAGAGGTTCTGCTGACAGCAAGAGAACCTTCCATGCTGCCTGCAGAGGAGGTCCCAGAAGGCAACAACTCTGCAGCCAAGTGCACACAACTCAGGAGTGAAAGAACAAATCATTTAAAAACAAACCAATTGCTTCCTCAAAACCAAATCAAACTTCTTAAAACTTATAAGCAGAAAACCCTGGGTATCCTGGGGCGAGAGAGCTGAAGTCTGTGGAATGAGCTGTATTTAGCTAAGTCATAAAGAAGGCTGCTGCCTGTGAAGTCAGCATAACCCTTGTGGCTACCGTAGTCAAGGAGGAAGGGAGCCTGAGACRCAGGAGGCCTCTCCACAGAGGAGGATGGAAAGGGGACCAAGTATGAAGTAGGCCTCATTTATTCCTGGAGCAGTAAGTGGCATTTTCATTGGCCTGAATGAGAAAGCTCTGACTCCACTCTAGCTGCAATAATACTGCATTCCTTCCACTCTTCTTCTCTTTTTTGACTGAAATTCTTCAAAGAACTGCTGAATGTCCTCTCTCTTAACAACCTGTTAATGAAAAGTGAGAATTAAGAAAGAGAACTAAATCACAGAACAGCAATAAAAGGTYATAACATTCACAAACAAGTGAAACATTGATAAGAATTACAAGCCAGGTACAGTGGTGCATGTCTATAATCCCAGCAACTCAGGAGATTGAAGCAGGAGGATCACAAGTTGGAGGCCAGCCTCAGCAACTTGGAAAGAGCCCATCTCAAAATAAAAAATAAAAGGGCTAGGGATGTAGCTAAGGGGTAAAGTTCCCCTGGGTTCAATCCCCAGTACCAAAAGAAGAAAATTGCAGATACTCCTTGATTCATGATGGGGTTACATATGCATAAACCCATTGTAAGTTGAAAGTATCCTAAGATAAAAATGCAATTAACACATTAATGCTAAGTTGAGCCACTGTAAATCAGGGTCTCTACACTGAATGTGTAATTAGCTATACCAGCTACATTTTGCAGAAGAGTTCAACAAGGCCTCCCAGGCTGAGCTACTCGGTCACACAGCAGAAYGGTTCAAAGTTTAGCTTCCACCACCTGCCTCAGCTTCCCTGTATAAGATGAGAAACAGCACCTA